CTATGGCACTTCAAAGGCACCGATTTATCACAGAAGAACACATCTGTGTTGTGGCAATGCCTGCCTGCGACTAGGTGCTTGCGTGTGTCCAGTGTCCTGAAAAATGGTCATTGTCAGAAGGCAACTACTGGTGGTTGACATCCCCTTCAGTGTGGTCAACGCGATACACCCTGTGGGCGTGTACGTGATACCTCTGTAGGGCTAAAATCCAGGTCTGGGAAGCCAGTGGGAAGAGGCTTTCCCGTCGCTAACCTCACACCTCACTTTGGAATGGGAGAATGGGAGCACCTGCTTCACCCTCATCCTCCCTCCTCCCTCCTCCCTCCCCCCTCTCCCTCCACCCTCCCACCTACACATGCCTTCAAATGACTACCACTTGAGGAGAGGAGACAGGAGCTGGTGTGTCTTGCCTCCTTTAACTTCCTTTTCAGCAGCCTCCACCAAGCCAGGTTACCTGATACGCAGGTTTTTGTCCTTTCAAGGAAGGTGCTATCTTCAGTACCACGACACCCGCTGAGGCCAGCTGAAAGAAGAAGAAAAAGAGGAAGGAGAAGAAGAAAGGAAAACCTTTGCCTTTAAATTTGGTTGGAGTTTGATGCTCAATTTGACACTTAATGACAGGTCAAAATGTGGCGATGAGGCGATGCGAAATTAAAGGGCGCGATCCTTCCACCCTCCTCACTTTTTGATATTTTTTCATACTTCAAGTGTCTTTTTCACTTTGTCTCCTATAAACCCTTTTCCTCAAAAAAAGGTGTTTGTTATTGGGTTCATCATGCCACCAAGTGTCAGTGAATGTCAACTACATGTCAATGACAAGTTTGACACTTTGTGGGGGAAGTGAATAAAGACAAGGACGTACCAAATATTGCTGAACGCTTTCAATGGAATGTCCAGTCACCGGATTGCCATTAATCTCCAAAATCTCGTCACGAACATGAAGAATTCCTAGGAAGGAAGGAAGGAAGGAAGGCATACTACTTGAACGGCACTTCAGTAGCACTCTGAAGGTACCCAGAAAAACATCGACATAGCAACGTGGGGGAAGCATGACCTTGATTGGCTAAAGAAGTGGGGAGGATGTGTGGAGCTGTCATACCGCGGTGTGGGTTTAAGAGTTGGACGGATGGAGAGATGCATGGAGGTGTGTATGGACGGGTAGATGGAGAGGGGAT